ATTACTGTGGAATACTTTATTTTCGCTGGAATAAATTTTCGCTGAAAAGGCTTTTTGGGCGTTTTGTTTGGAATTTATTTTCACTGATTTTTGATGAGTTTAATGTGAAATATAGGAAAAAAAGTATATTCACTGGATTTTATTTTCATGGAATCATCCCTTCAGCGAAAATAGCGAAAATAAATTCTAAGCAAAAATAAAGTATTCTACAGTATACATATAGGTACTACATGTGGACCTCTCTCAGTTTTGTTCATTTTCTAATGATATCTTCTGTTCTTTAATTGCCATGTGCATTGCTAACAGCGGAGCTATCTCAGCCGAGAGGCTGCTTGTTTTAATATCTAATCACATCCTTAGTTTACTATCAGGTGAAATTTTTAATATCCAATCACATCACTGGTTTACTATCAGGTGACCTCTGATATCCAATCACATCCCTAGTTTACTATAAGGTGATATTTTTAATATCTAATTACATTTATAGTTTACTATCAGGTGACCTTTTTAATATCCAATTACATCCTTAGTTTACTATCAGGTGACCTATAATATCCAATCACATAAGTTGAAACCTTGTATCATTGTTTCTAGCGGATCAGACACCTACACCAACAAGGTTTCTCCGAAATTGTGAGGAAGTCGGTCTGTTTCAAGAACTTCCAAACGTCAATCCATTTGAACATGAATTTAAAAAAGCCAGTGAAAAACAGTTTGCAGATAAGGAGGTAAGTGTTAAAAGTTCAAGTGTCACCATGGCGATATGGAGTTTAATGTTCTAAGACCTTGCTAAAAAAAAAATGTTTCTGGTCAAATACTTATTTTATTTTGGCTGAAATATTTCTACGAGGTATACTTTCATAAATTTGTCAACAGAGGGCGCTGTGTAGTGGCTGAATAAGTGCCTACACACTTACCAAAAACATAACTTTTTCCACAGACTCATTGGGTCTCTCTTCTGTGTCTTTAAAGTTGCTCTCCAAGGACATTCATAGTGATTATTGTGTTGTCTTGTGACTATTATGGGATGTATTTGATGGTATAAATTTTCCTGCAATATTGGGGAAGGATTGCTAGGATTTTAGTTAACGTTGCCTGAGGTGTAGTATAGTCTAGGTGTAAGTTAATTTTTCATAAAAATGAATAAATATAATAAATATAGAATGATTTCAACATTTTTTTCTAGTATTTAGCAGCGTACTGATATGAGACATATTTAGACGAATTATTCTGCAATAAGTAGATTAATGGCTGTTTTGAAAAATAAGCTGAGCTACCTCTAGGCCAGTTTCAAGTTAATTAAACGTTACAACGGGACTGCACTGAAGCAATTCACTGTTACTGCATTGAAATGGTTTTCTAACACTATTCTAGCAAGGGAAATTTGAACACACTATCATCCAATAGACGATTCACTGCGAATTCCTGTGTTACTGTAGAATACTTTATTTTCGCTTGGAATTCATTTTCGCTATTTTCGCTGAAGGGATGATTCTGTGAAAATAAAATCCAGCGAATATACTTTTTTTCCTATAATATTTCACATTAAACTCATCAAATATCAGTGAAAATAAATTCCATACAAAACACCCAAAAAGCCATTTCAGCGAAAATTAATTCCAGCGAAAATAAAGTATTTCACAGTATGTGAAAAAAAAAAGTCAGGACAAACAAAGCTCGTATTGGGATTCGACAAAAATGCAAAATATTTTTTTTGCCTATTTCAACGCTTAATAATAGAATAAAGAGTTAATTTTGATGGAGTGAGGATCAATGCTATATATTTTTCTTTGAAAGAACTGCAATTCAACAATTCAATTTTGTCTGTTTGATTGGAAATTACAGAAAATGTGAACAAAATTTTCCAAATTTGACACTCGAAGCGTTAACAACTGCAGTGAATGAAAACTTCACTTGGCCCAAAATTAAACAAAAAATCCTAGAAAAGTCTTCAAAATGTGCAAATATTTGTGAGAGAATTAATTACAAATTCATCATATTTTATTTTGAAGGCATTAGAATCTGGAATTGTTTCCGCATCGACATTAGTTATAAAAATCCCCACGGTGGAGTCGCCATTATCATCAACTGTGGAAACCATGGCAACAGACTCTGTCGGGAGCACCAGTAACAACACAATGTCGTCGCCTGACACTGTGTCAACTACTACGAACGAAGACGAAGTTGCGGCTGTGCATTCAACAATGCAGGAACCGGTTACTGTGGCAACACCAATTTCTATTTCTTCCATCACAACACAAGCTCCATCACAGTTGTTCGCCCAAGTGCATCATGGGTAAGTAAAATATGAAATGACATCATGATCACTTTCATGTTTAAAATCCCACTATATTGAGTGACTGTTTATAATCCCCGTTCGGACGAAGTTCGAAAACGGGGACTTATAATTCGGTCTCCGTCTGTGCGTCCGTGCGTCTGTGTGTCTGTGCGTCCGTCCGGAGTCATATCTCAGAATCCCTTGGACCGATTCCGTTCATTCTTTGCATGTGCCTAGTACTTTATCTGGGACATATGCACATGCAGTGGTTTAGCGATTCAATTCAAAATGGCCGACTGGCAGTCATCTTGTTTTTTGAAAATGTTGTATTTTGGCCATGCTTTGTCAGTTTTCATTCAAAATTTGTACATATATTATACATGTTAGGATACATGTCCATGACGATTTATTTCACAATTGGATCAAAGATGGCCAACTGGCAGCCATCTTGTTTTTTGAAAATGTTGTATTTTGGACATGCTTTGTCAGTTTTCATTCAAATTTAGTACATCGATCATACATGTTAGGATACATGTCCCCGACCATCTGTGAGTTCCTGAGTCTGTCTGTCCGTCCGTCCGTGCGTCAGTCTATCAAGAGTAATATTTCAGAATCCTGTGGACTGATTCCGTTCATTCTTTGCATATGCCTAGTACCTTATGTGGGACATATGCACATGCAGTGGTTTAGCGATTCGATTCAAAATGGCCGACTGGCAGTCATCTTGTTTTTTGAAAATGTTGCATTTTGGACATGCTTTGTCAGTTGTCATTCAAACTTTTTATTCAAATTTGGCACATACATGTACATGTACTTTATACATGTTAGGATGCATGTTCATGACTATTTGTTTCAAAATCTGGTCAAGGATGGCCGATTGACAGCAATCTGACTTTTTGGCCTTACTACTATATTTCCACAATTTATGTACCATTTTCATTCGTATTTGGCACATACATCATACATATCAGTGTGTTTCATAATCAGATCAAAGATGGCCAAATAACGCCTGTTTTTATTTTTGGCCATACATGTATTACTACTACACGGAACACGTATTTTTATGTAAATTAACAATCTGTTGTATACGCCACTTGGAACTAAAGTTTCAAGGACACGCTCGCAGGGTCTGTGTATATTCTGCACACAAATCAATGTAGCAACAATTTTGGACAATAGTTTTCAAGCAATATTAATATTAATCACTTGGCTTTAGTTTATAGGGAAAATCAGCTACATGTAAAATAAAATGCATACAGTATATGAACATGCAAAGTTACATGTACAACAGAAATCATTTTTTTTTCTAGAAACCATGTGAATTTTGAAACTTAGTACATAAGTTAAAGGATTAAATTATGAAATTAAATACTGGTGAAAATAATTCTTTTACAGTACTTAGATCGTCAAGACCCTTCACATTTTACCACTCGCATATGTCGTTTTCACCATACCTCTATTCTAACCCTAAAGTGTCAAATACAAGTTGTATATGGGTGCAGTGACGTAAAACTAAGATTCGGTCATGTCGTAAATTGAATAATTTACTAGTAGTATCACGACAGAAAAATAACATAGCGAAGGACAAAACGAAAGTAGTCTAATATAACATGTCAGTGAAAAAAACCACGTGTTTAAATTGCACAGTCATACCTCAATGGTAACTACTTCATTGCCGGCGAACGTGAAAGCCTTTAGGTCGGGTTGCAACCGCAGACTGTAGTTCTTGGGCACCACATTTTTAGGCAATCGCTCGAACGTTTTTTTCTCAGACATGTTGATCGCAGACGACTGGCAGTAGGCACGAACTTGTCCCTGGAGACGAACACGGAAGTGGATACGACTGACAGCAAATAGTTTGTTGGTTGTGTCTTTTCTCAGCGTCTGTTTCAGGAAAGCGTAACACGAGCGCGAACTGTGAAAGCTGGATGTGAATAAGCGACTGTATAGCATGCCAGTATGAAACTGTAACTTGCATATACTATATATTCATTCGACAGAAATGTCGACGTTGAACATATAGGCGGAAAATTACCGATGAATTTAACAGTGTGCTGAAGAGACATACAACCCCGGGGATACAACCCGCTCACAATAGAGCGCCATCACACGACATACTTTGATTCGCCTACTTTGTCATGGCGGAAAATACAAACATATCAATTTACTGATATTCGATAGAATATAATTTTATTTTTCTTGTGTGTGGAAAGTGTAGTAAACATGCATATGACAACCGAACTATGTATTAAAGTCAGATTTCTGTAAAATGCAAATACGAAAAATTTTATCGCGGACTACGTTTTGCAAGGTAATTGTAGTAAAAAAAAACGCCCTGTTTACGTATATAGTTGGGAACAAAAAAATAAAGGGCGGTAGTCGTCGCGCCACGCATGCGCGAGATATATGAGTCTCACAAATACAATAATATAATAATGAATTTATTGCCACCGCGTAAAAAGATTTACATTGAATATGTACAACTGTTTTTACAACAAAAAGTTTTAAAATAATAACAAGATATATGTAAAAATAATATAAAACAAAAATATATAAACAAAGATGGCGATTTTGACTGTTGCGCAGTTCAACGAGTACAAACTGAGAGGCGACCAAGCTTTAATTAGGTAATTTTGTTTGAAGGTATCGAATGAGTTGCTGGCAGTAATTAGTGCACGTCACGCCCATGTCAAACCTCATACTTGTGATTTCCATCAGAAGAGCGCATTGGATTGTGGGAATATCAATGTCCATCAACACAAATGTCATGCGCAGCGCGACGACCACCACCCTGTAAAGGGATTTCCTAACACGTCCGTTCATAATGTTGTCTGGCGAATATTGCATTACTATTTCTCGCTTGAACGGATTCAATTCTCAGCGTCTAACAACCATATAACAGTCTCGAGCCCCAAGTAGTCCGATAAAGTAGTCTGGCAGACAAGCTGACCAACCCGAATTTGGAAACCATACATAATGTTTTGATGGATTTTAGTCCACTTGATGAACGTCCAGTATGTCATAACTGTGTACTTGTGATTAACAATGTTGCGATGATACACAATGAACACTACGATAAAGACTTTCCGTTTTCGACATTGTGAAATTCTTTCGTTTTGGGGGGGAGAAAAACCCCTGCAAAAATTGATTTTTACAAGATAATTCAGAAATTTATATTAAGAATACTTCATAACGAATTGTATTTCCTATGCAGACATCAAAATTTGCAGTAGTTATTTTGACCGACGAGTAGAGCTGTCTGAAGTTGATGGGAGTTTTGATGGAGCTAAGGACTTAGTGATGAGAGATCTATTGATGAGTACTTTTGGTTATGAGTTGTCTATTTTCATAGGTGAAAGGTCATCTTAGTCAGTTAAGGAAATGGCTGAATTAGCTGATAAGTTTAGAGATGCACGTGGACAGACAGGTGGTAAAAATCAGAAATCGAGCCAGTTTCAAGGTGCTAGTCAGAATCAGAAAGGACAGTCCTGGAACACAAGTCAGAAAGTAAAATGACTGGGTCGATTTGGCCAGTCTAATCCAAGTCAGCCTGTTATTTTTGTGGTGATCCAAATCACTGTACTGTCAGTTGTCTTAAGTGGTATAACAGTTTCAAATCTCAGGTTAAGTCAGCTGCTATATTGACATGTGAATAATGGTAATGATTCACAGTAAATCAGTGCTACTTGTGTAGTTCACGAAGTCACAAATGCAAGTAGGCATCCATGGTTACAGGATGGTGAGTGGTATGCCTGTTGTTCAAGGCTTTATTGGCAGTACTGTGGTAGAGGTCCTTCGTGATAGTGGATGTAGTTCGGTTGTAGTACATAGAGAGTTGGGAGAGGATAGTCAATTGACTGGGGAGAGTCGTACATGTATGATGATGGATGGTACATGTCGGAAAGCCCCATTAACTAGACTATATATAGATACACCTTTTTATGTTTGTGAGTGTTAGAGCATGGCATAGCAATGTGAAAACAGCAATTAATAGCTGATGAAAAGCTGATTTTATTATCAACATAGAACCGCCATACTGGCTGATTCCAGCACGAGGCTAATACAAAGTTAACAGGATGGCGGTATCACTACATCACCCCTTTAAGCCGAGTTTGTTTAGACTGTTAACTGGATGACCGATTTACAGAGAAATACAGTTTGTTGAAAGTGATATGATGAAAATATCACGATGAGAACGCGCAACTTTAAACTTAAACAGACAAACGTTTACGATATATTCGAGTAAATAGTCGCAAAATCTTTAGAACATGTGTCTATCAAAAGTCATGAACACAATAAGTACAAACAGTATTACATGGATTTTACAAGTATAATAGTGTTACCAGTCTAATTTACTTCCTGAACGAGTAGTGTATGGTTTAGCAGTTTCTTGCATTAGTGGTTGAGAAGAGATTGCCTTTTCATAATTAGCTGTCTCCTTTCCAACACTCTGCTGTTTGTGCGGAGTGTCCTGTTTAAGTGGTATTTCAGGTTGAATGTCCGTATCTTCACGATTATCAATGAGTGGTGTTGTTTCAGTTCCTTTATTTTGCTCAGATCTCAATGCTAAGTGACGACAGTTTCGTCTAAGCGTTTCTGTTGGCGTTTTTACTATGTATGACCGTAGAGTCCCAGCAGTACGAATGACTGTTGCAGGTATATTATCTCCCTTTACATACACTGCATCTCGGTACTCACTAGAACGAAGGACCGCGAAGGACCGAAGGACCTAACCGAAGGACCGAAGGACTTAATGTAATGACTATAAAACCTGATACAAATAACGTTGTTATACGTTTCATTTGTTCACAAATTATGCAGTAGCGATTAAATTTACAAAAATACCTTGATAAATACATTACATGAAAAATATAAAAGCGAAGGACCACAATTATATTATAAATATGAGCGAAGGACCTCGTTTTTATTGTAATTGAGCGAATGACCGTGATTACGTGGCTAATGTGAGCGAAGGACCACGATTATATTATAAATATGAGCGAAGGACCACGATTATATTATAAATAGGAGCGAAGGACCATGATTACGTGATAAAAATGAGCGAAGGACGACGTTTATATTATAAATATGAGCGAAGGACCATGATTACTTGATAAATATTAGCGAAGGACCATGAGTACGTTATAAATATGAGCGAAGGACCATGAGTACGTTATAAATATGAACGAAGGACCATGTTTATATTATAAATATGAGCGACGGGCCACGTTTGTATTATAAATATGAGCGAAGGACCACGATTACGTGATAAATATGAGCGAAGGACCACGTTTATATTATAAATATGAGCGAAGGACCACGTTTATATTATAAATATGAGCGAAGGATCGTGATTACGTGACAAATATGAGCGAAGGACCACGTTTATAATATAAATAAGAGCGAAGGACCACGTTTATATTTTAAATATGAGCGAAGGACCACGTTTATATTATAAATATGAGCGAAGGACCGTGATTATGTGATAAATATGAGCGGAGGACCACGTTTATAATATGAATAAGAGCGAAGGACCACGTTTATATTATACATATGAGCGAAGGACCACGTTTATATTATAAATATGAGCGAAGGACCGTGATTACGTGACAAATATGAGCGAAGGATCACGTTTATATTATACATATGAGCGAAGGACCACGTTTATATTATAAATATGAGCGAAGGACCGTGATTACGTGGCAAATATGAGCGAAGGATCACGTTTATATTATACATATGAGCGAAGGACCACGTTTATATTATAAATATGAGCGAAGGACCGTGATTACGTGACAAATATGAGCGAAGGATCACGTTTATATTATAAATAAGAGCAAAGGATCACGTTTATATTATAAATATGAGCGAAGGACCATGTTTATATTATAAATATGAGCAACGGGCCACGTTTGTATTATAAATATGAGCGAAGAACCACGATTACGTGATAAATATGAGCGAAGGACCACGTTTATATTATACATATGAGCGAAGGACCCACGTTTATATTATAAATATGAGCGAAGGACCACGTTTATATTATAAATATGAGCGAAGGACCACGTTTATATTATACATATGAGCGAAGGACCCACGTTTATATTATAAATATGAGCGAAGGACCACGTTTATATTATAAATATGAGCGAAGGACCACGTTCATAATATAAATATGAGCGAGGACCACAATTACGTGATAAATATGAGCGAAGGACTACGTTCATATTATAAATAAGAGCGAGGACCACAATTACGTGATAAATATGAGCGAAGTATGAACGTTTATATTATAAATATGAGCGAAGGACCACGTTTATATTATAAATATGAGGAAAGGACCACGTTTATATTATACATATGAGTGAAAGACCACGTTTATATTATAAATATGAGCGAAGGATCACGTTTATATTATAAATATGAGCGAAGAATCACGTTTATCTTATAAATATGAGCGAAGGACCGTGATTACGTGACAAATATGAGCGAAGGACCATGATTACGTGATAAATATTAGCGAAGGACCATGATTACGTGATAAATATGAGCGAAGGACCATGATTACGTGATAAATATGAGCGAAGGCCCACGTTAATCTTATAAATATGAGCGAAGGACTACGTTTATATTATACATATGAGTGAAAGACCACGTTTATATTATAAATATGAGGAAAGGACCACGTTTATATTATAAATATGAGCGAAGGACCATGATTACCTGATAAATATGAGCGAAGAATCACGTTTATCTTATAAATATTAGCGAAGGGCCACGTTTATATTTAAATATGAGCGAAGGACCATGATTACGTGATAAATATGAGCGAAGGACGAC